TTCCATTTTTAATGAGATTTGAATGGCTTGGCTATTCCTTTACAATCTTGCTCCTTTTAAAATCGCACCAAGTCCCAATCAAAAAAAATATAAATTGTATTGATTTTTAAATTTTTTTATTTGTTTAATAGATAAGAGATCCCTAAACGTTGCTAACTTATTTTTAGAGTGTGTTTTGCAGTTTTCGATTTTTTAAAGAGATTTGAATACGGCATGTGGGTTGTGCTTGTCCCATACAACTTTGTGCCTGATAAAAGTCCCACCAAATACCAATCGAAAAAAATACGAATTCGAACTTTTTCGAGATAGATTTTGTTTTATTTAATAAATAAGGGATTCGTTATCGTTGCTAAACTATTTTCAAGTTGAGTTTAATAGTTTTTCGATTTTTTAATGAGATTTGAATGGCTTGGCTATTCCCTTACAATCTTGCTCCTGTTTAAAATCGTACCAAGTCCCAATCAAAAAAAAAATATAAATTGTATTGATTTTGACATATTTTTGATTTGTTTAATAGTTAAGAGATTCCTAAACGTTGCTAACTTATTTTTAGAGTGTGTTTTGCAGTTTTTCGATTTTTTAAAGAGATTTGAATACGGCATGTGGGTTGTGCTTGTCCCATACAACCTTGTGCCTGATAAAAGTCCCACCAAATACCAATCGAAAAAAAATACGAATTCGAACTTTTTCGAGATAGATTTTGTTTTATTTAATAAATAAGGGATTCGTTATCGTTGCTAAACTATTTTCAAGTTGAGTTTAATAGTTTTTCCATTTTTTAATGAGATTTGAATGGCTTGGCTATTCCTTTACAATCTTGCTCCTTTTTAAAATCGCACCAAGTCCCAATCAAAAAAAATATAAATTGTATTGATTTTTAACATATTTTTTATTTGTTTAATAGTTAAGAGATCCCTAAACGTTGCTAACTTATTTTTAGAGTGTGTTTTGCAGTTTTTCGATTTTTTAAAGAGATTTGAATACGGCATGTGGGTTGTGCTTGTCCCATACAACTTTGTGCCTGATAAAAGTCCCACCAAATACCAATCGAAAAAAATACGAATTCGAACTTTTTCGAGATAGATTTTGTTTTATTTAATAAATAAGGGATTCGTTATCGTTGCTAAACTATTTTCAAGTTGAGTTTAATAGTTTTTCGATTTTTTAATGAGATTTGAATGGCTTGGCTATTCCCTTACAATCTTGCTCCTATTTAAAATCGTACCAAGTCCCAATCAAAAAAAAATATAAATTGTATTGATTTTTGACATATTTTTTATTTGTTTAATAGTTAAGAGATTCCTAAACGTTGCTAACTTATTTTTAGAGTGTCTTTTGCAGTTTTTCGATTTTTTAAAGAGATTTGAATACGGCATGTGGGTTGTGCTTGTCCCATACAACCTTGTGCCTGATAAAAGTCCCACCAAATACCAATCGAAAAAAAATACGAATTCGAACTTTTTCGAGATAGATTTTGTTTTATTTAATAAATAAGGGATTCGTTATCGTTGCTAAACTATTTTCAAGTTGAGTTTAATAGTTTTTCCATTTTTTAATGAGATTTGAATGGCTTGGCTATTCCTTTACAATCTTGCTCCTTTTTAAAATCGCACCAAGTCCCAATAAAAAAAATATAAATTGTATTGATTTTTAACATATTTTTTATTTGTTTAATAGTTAAGAGATTCCTAAACGTTGCTAACTTATTTTTAGAGTGTGTTTTGCAGTTTTTCGATTTTTTAAAGAGATTTGAATACGGCATGTGGGTTGTGCTTGTCCCAAACAACCTTGTGCCTGATAAAAGTCCCACCAAATACCAATCGAAAAAATACAAATTCGAACTTTTTCGAGATAGGTTTTGTTTTATTTGATAAATAAGGGATTCGTTATTGTTGCTAACTTATTTTAAAATTGAGTTTAATAGTTTTTCGGTTTTTTAATGACAGTTGAATGGTTAGTGCTATTCCCTTCAAACCTTGCACATTGTTCACATCCCAATGCCACACCCCCTAAAGCGAATTATTTATTAAAATAAAATACATATTTATATATTTATTATAATTAGAAGACGCCAAAAGAAAAATTAATATCTCATCGAAAGTATTTTGTGGTCCTGAAAAGGACCGATTTGTACAAAGTATGCTGGCGCATTGGTCGCTAGTTGAGACCGTCTCAGCTTAAGCACGCTCACCGCGAATGCGACGGGCCAACTGGATGTCCTTGGGCATGATTGTTACACGCTTGGCATGAATGGCACACAAGTTGGTATCTTCAAAAAGGCCAACAAGATATGCTTCGCTAGCTTCCTGAAGAGCCATCACTGCCGAGCTCTGGAACCGCAAATCAGTCTTGAAGTCCTGAGCGATCTCACGCACCAGACGCTGGAAAGGCAGTTTGCGAATCAGCAGCTCGGTACTCTTCTGGTAGCGACGGATCTCACGCAGGGCCACAGTTCCGGGGCGATAGCGATGGGGCTTCTTCACGCCTCCGGTGGCTGGGGCGCTCTTACGAGCGGCCTTGGTGGCCAGTTGTTTGCGTGGCGCCTTGCCACCAGTCGACTTGCGAGCGGTTTGCTTGGTACGAGCCATTTTCGATTTCTATGTTGATATTTATATTCACTGATGTTCACTTCGCGTCTGAAAACACAATAAACGGTTGCCGCGTTCGCTGCCTGCTTATATAGCAAAATGTGGAGGGTTGGAAAGAGAAAGAGGCAGAGGCCATCTCGTTTGACGAGCGAAGAGCGAGACGAATATATCGCTCGGACTCGCTCGGGTATCTATGGGTTTAGGTATAAATAGGGGCACGCCGAAAAATCGGAATTAGTTCTTCAGTGACTTTCGTGCAGTGTGTTAATATAGTAGAAAAGTGAAAAATGACTGGTCGTGGTAAAGGAGGCAAAGGCTTGGGAAAAGGTGGCGCCAAGCGTCATCGCAAAGTGCTGCGTGATAACATCCAGGGTATTACGAAGCCAGCCATACGCCGTTTGGCTCGTCGTGGCGGTGTGAAGCGCATCTCCGGATTAATTTACGAGGAAACACGTGGTGTTCTGAAGGTGTTCCTGGAGAACGTTATCCGTGATGCCGTCACCTACACCGAACACGCCAAGAGGAAGACTGTCACAGCCATGGATGTCGTGTACGCCCTGAAGAGGCAAGGCCGCACCCTGTACGGTTTCGGCGGTTAAAAACAAGTACAGCTTGTACTTCATTCAGCAATCGGTCCTTTTCAGGACCACCATTACATCTCCAAAGCAGACAAATTTTCAAAACATTTTACGCTTTTTTGTTTTATTGGCTGGGAACTCCAAATTGGGAGTGAACAAAATCGAAATATTTAGTTTTCACCGCGAGCATTCGTCCGTTTCTCAAACAGGTAGAAAAATGTGTTGTAAAACAATCACTTACAGACATGTATAAAAATGTTTTTTGTTCAGACTGTACTGTTTCAGATGCGAAAGCAGTCTGTCTGATAAAGTTATACAATAAAATTATTATTTAACTTCCCGAACATTTTTAAAACCCAAGATGATGTGTTCACTAGATACATATTTTTTATTTGAAATACTTTTTGATGCCTGATGTTCTATTAGAAAATATTAACAATTCTTTGGTAAAAACTTGGTCGTCCTGAAAAGGACGGTTGGGTATGTTTATGTACAAGTATGTAGTTGGCTCTGCTTTTGGAACGTTTAAGCCTTCTTCTCGGTCTTCTTGGGCAACAGAACAGCCTGGATATTGGGCAATACTCCACCCTGGGCAATGGTGACGCCGGAGAGCAGCTTGTTCAATTCTTCGTCGTTGCGAATGGCCAGCTGCAGATGACGCGGGATAATCCTAGTCTTCTTGTTGTCACGAGCAGCATTGCCAGCCAACTCGAGAACCTCGGCGGCCAGATATTCCATCACGGCAGCCAGGTAAACCGGAGCGCCGGCACCAACACGCTCGGCATAGTTGCCCTTGCGGAGCAGACGGTGAATACGGCCTACTGGGAACTGAAGACCAGCCCGGTTGGAGCGGGACTTTGCCTTTCCCTTCACTTTGCCACCTTTTCCACGACCAGACATTTTGCTTTATTTCACTTAGTTCACTTAACACACAAAAACGAATGCTCGAGAAAAATTGGTAGCCACATATTTATACTTTTTTGCCTGCCTGCGCGTTTAGTTAGGGGTGGGTGCCTTATACCTGAAAAGGTTGCTCGAAAAAAAGTATAAGGGTGAACGCGTTCCGGCTCCGTTATGATCAGTGAATTGTGTTTGTGAAATTAAAAGTGAACTGAAATAATGCCGCCGAAAACTAGTGGAAAGGCAGCCAAGAAGGCTGGCAAGGCTCAGAAGAACATCACCAAGACCGACAAGAAGAAGAAGCGCAAGAGGAAGGAGAGCTATGCGATCTACATCTACAAGGTTCTGAAGCAGGTCCACCCTGACACCGGCATTTCGTCGAAGGCGATGAGCATCATGAACAGCTTTGTGAATGACATCTTCGAGCGTATTGCTGCAGAGGCTTCTCGTCTGGCCCACTACAACAAACGGTCGACCATCACCAGTCGGGAAATCCAAACGGCTGTTCGCCTGCTTCTGCCCGGAGAGTTGGCCAAGCACGCCGTTAGTGAGGGAACCAAGGCTGTCACCAAGTACACCAGCTCCAAGTAAATTTGCTGCGTTTGCGGAGGAAGATCCAAAACGGCCCTTTTTAGGGCCACAACATATTTTACCAAAGAAACTAAATTTTCAATACCATTCGCAATACAATATAAAATAATCAAAATAGTCCAGTTTAAATAAATAAATAAATTTATTCGATTCTGAATGCTACATTATTTGCCGACTTAGCCGCGGTTGCGTGCGTCAAAAGAATTAAATAAACTATTTTCAAAGATGTAATTCCGCCGCTACAGTTCTTTCAAAAAAGCACAATCACTATATTCTTGCTTTATAAAATAATTTGAATGCTATATCGAAAGAATCTTTCTCTTGTTAACAAACATTGTAGCCCTGAAAAGGGCTGTATAAATCAATTTCAGATTTCGAAATCTTAAATTGCGACTGTGAGCGTCCAGGTACAGGTACTGTACTTTTTCACAGTTTACTTCTTGGCAGCGGTAGTCTTTGCTTTCGGCTTCTTAGCTGTAGCAGGGGCAGCTGCTTTCTTTACCGCCTTTTTCGGCTTAGCAGACGCCGCTGGCTTGGTTTTGGGTGCTTTAGCTGCCTTCGGCTTCGCTGCGGTCGACTTGGTCTTTGGTGCTGCTGGCTTTGCCTTCACGGTTCCAGTTTTCTTAGCATCCTTGGCCCTTGCCTTCTCGGTTTTCTTTTTCTCGGCGGTCTTTTTGGTGGCCACAGCCTTCTTGATCTTGGGCTTTTTGTCGGCAGCCTTCTTGGCGGTGGCTCCGGTCTTCTTAACGGCTACCTTCCTGCTTTTGACTTTCTTCTCAGCAGACGCAACCTTTGGCTTGGGATCCTTCGCGGCAGACGCCGACAGTTTAAATGAACCAGACGCGCCCTTTCCCTTTGTTTGGATCAGTTTCCCATTGACGACGGCAGATTTCAAATACTTCTTAATGAATGGAGCCAATTTCTGGGCATCGCATTTGTAGGTGGCTGTGATATATTTCTTGATTGCCAGAAGCGATGAGCCGCCACGTTCCTTCAAATTCTTAATGGAAGCGTCCACCATTTGCTGAGTTGGCGGGTGCGATGGCGGTGCAGTGGGCTTCTTTGCCTTTGTGCCAGCGGATCCAGATGCCTTTTTGGCAGCCACCTTCTTCTCAACTGGCGCTGGTGGGGCAGCCACTGGGGACGCGGCCGTTGCAACTGCAGATTCAGACATTTTTGATCACTTAAATACACTTTGTTGTTTAGAAAATGGCGCGCGCGCTTGCTGCCGACCTCCTTCATACGGGTGAGAATCGAGGAGGAGAGCACTTCTACTATGGGTCTGACATCAGTCATTTGCTGTGCTGATGTCTGCTTGAAGTGCAAACTTATTTTCTGGTTTTTATTGTTTAAGACCTTTAATCGAAACAATGTTGTTGATTCTATACTAACTTAAATGTTTCATAAAGCACTTTGCATTTACGAAAATGTAATATCTTGTTTCGTTGGCCTTTTATCGCTGAATAAACTTGAACATTGTCATTTGTAATTTGAGCAATTTATTTAAAAACCTATTTTAAAATTAGAAATCTAACAAATATTTGTACGATTCTTAATACAAAATGAAATTTGAACTTTTTACTTTAGGAAATATTGAAAATTTAATCCGTTTTCATTAATTAAGATATTTTATTACTTGTTCCAAGTTGAGCCCAGTCGACATAAAAAGTTTGCTTTCAGGGTACATTCGGTCATAGTTTTCGAGATGAAAAAAATATAAAAGTTTCAAAATGTTATAGTTATTTAAGATTTTCTTAAACAAATCATTTGCATGTTTTGACCGACTTAATTTTTTAGTAATGTTTATGATAGTTTTGGCCAAAATAGGCAAATTTGGCTTGGCTATTCCCATACAATCTTGCTCCTATTATAAATCGTACCAAGTCCCAATCAAAAGAAAAATATAAATTGTATTGTTTTTGACATATTTTTTATTTTGTTTAATAGTAATGGGATTCCCCAACACTGCTGACTTATTTTCAGAGTGTGTTTTGCAGTTTTTCGATTTTTTAAAGAGATTTGAATACGGCATGTGGGTTGTGCTTGTCCCATACAACCTTGTGCCTGATAAAAGTCCCACCAAATACCAATCGAAAAAAAATACGAATTTGAACTTTTTCGAGATAGATTTTGTTTTATTTAATAAATAAGGGATTCGTTATCGTTGCTAAACTATTTTCAAGTTGAGTTTAAAAGTTTTTCGATTTTTTAATGAGATTTGAATGGCTTGGCTATTCCCTTATAATCTTGCTCCTATTTAAAATCGTACCAAGTCCCAATCAAAAAAAAATATAAATTGTATTGATTTTTGACATATTTTTATTTGTTTAATAGTTAAGAGATTCCTAAACGTTGCTAACTTATTTTTAGAGTGTCTTTTGCAGTTTTTCGATTTTTTAAAGAGATTTGAATACGGCATGTGGGTTGTGCTTGTCCCATACAACCTTGTGCCTGATAAAAGTCCCACCAAATACCAATCGAAAAAAAATACGAATTCGAACTTTTTCGAGATAGATTTTGTTTTATTTAATAAATAAGGGATTCGTTATCGTTGCTAAACTATTTTCAAGTTGAGTTTAAAAGTTTTTCGATTTTTTAATGAGATTTGAATGGCTTGGCTATTCCCTTACAATCTTGCTCCTGTTTAAAATCGTACCAAGTCCCAATCAAAAAAAATATAAATTGTATTGATTTTTGACATATTTTTGATTTGTTTAATAGTTAAGAGATTCCTAAACGTTGCTAACTTATTTTTAGAGTGTCTTTTGCAGTTTTTCGATTTTTAAAGAGATTTGAATACGGCATGTGGGTTGTGCTTGTCCCATACAACCTTGTGCCTGATAAAAGTCCCACCAAATACCAATCGAAAAAAAATACGAATTTGAACTTTTTCGAGATAGATTTTGTTTTATTTAATAAATAAGGGATTCGTTATCGTTGCTAAACTATTTTCAAGTTGAGTTTAAAAGTTTTTCGATTTTTTAATGAGATTTGAATGGCTTGGCTTATCCCTTATAATCTTGCTCCTATTTAAAATCGTACCAAGTCCCAATCAAAAAAAAAAATATAAATTGTATTGATTTTTGACATATTTTTTATTTGTTTAATAGTTAAGAGATTCCTAAACGTTGCTAACTTATTTTTAGAGTGTCTTTTGCAGTTTTTCGATTTTTTAAAGAGATTTGAATACGGCATGTGGGTTGTGCTTGTCCCATACAACCTTGTGCCTGATAAAAGTCCCACCAAATACCAATCGAAAAAAAATACGAATTCGAACTTTTTCGAGATAGATTTTGTTTTATTTAATAAATAAGGGATTCGTTATCGTTGCTAAACTATTTTCAAGTTGAGTTTAATAGTTTTTCCATTTTTTAATGAGATTTGAATGGCTTGGCTATTCCTTTACAATCTTGCTCCTTTTTAAAATCGCACCAAGTCCCAATCAAAAAAAAAATATAAATTGTATTGATTTTTAACATATTTTTTATTTGTTTAATAGTTAAGAGATTCCTAAACGTTGCTAACTTATTTTTAGAGTGTGTTTTGCAGTTTTTCGATTTTTTAAAGAGATTTGAATACGGCATGTGGGTTGTGCTTGTCCCAAACAACCTTGTGCCTGATAAAAGTCCCACCAAATACCAATCGAAAAAATACAAATTCGAACTTTTTCGAGATAGGTTTTGTTTTATTTGATAAATAAGGGATTCGTTATTGTTGCTAACTTATTTTAAAATTGAGTTTAATAGTTTTTCGGTTTTTTAATGACAGTTGAATGGTTAGTGCTATTCCCTTCAAACCTTGCACATTGTTCACATCCCAATGCCACACCCCCCTAAAGCGAATTATTTATTAAAATAAAATACATATTTATATATTTATTATAATTAGAAGACGCCAAAAGAAAAATTAATATCTCATCGAAAGTATTTTGTGGTCCTGAAAAGGACCGATTTGTACAAAGTATGCTGGCGCATTGGTCGCTAGTTGAGACCGTCTCAGCTTAAGCACGCTCACCGCGAATGCGACGGGCCAACTGGATGTCCTTGGGCATGATTGTTACACGCTTGGCATGAATGGCACACAAGTTGGTATCTTCAAAAAGGCCAACAAGATATGCTTCGCTAGCTTCCTGAAGAGCCATCACTGCCGAGCTCTGGAACCGCAAATCAGTCTTGAAGTCCTGAGCGATCTCACGCACCAGACGCTGGAAAGGCAGTTTGCGAATCAGCAGCTCGGTACTCTTCTGGTAGCGACGGATCTCACGCAGGGCCACAGTTCCGGGGCGATAGCGATGGGGCTTCTTCACGCCTCCGGTGGCTGGGGCGCTCTTACGAGCGGCCTTGGTGGCCAGTTGTTTGCGTGGCGCCTTGCCACCAGTCGACTTGCGAGCGGTTTGCTTGGTACGAGCCATTTTCGATTTCTATGTTGATATTTATATTCACTGATGTTCACTTCGCGTCTGAAAACACAATAAACGGTTGCCGCGTTCGCTGCCTGCTTATATAGCAAAATGTGGAGGGTTGGAAAGAGAAAGAGGCAGAGGCCATCTCGTTTGACGAGCGAAGAGCGAGACGAATATATCGCTCGGACTCGCTCGGGTATCTATGGGTTTAGGTATAAATAGGGGCACGCCGAAAAATCGGAATTAGTTCTTCAGTGACTTTCGTGCAGTGTGTTAATATAGTAGAAAAGTGAAAAATGACTGGTCGTGGTAAAGGAGGCAAAGGCTTGGGAAAAGGTGGCGCCAAGCGTCATCGCAAAGTGCTGCGTGATAACATCCAGGGTATTACGAAGCCAGCCATACGCCGTTTGGCTCGTCGTGGCGGTGTGAAGCGCATCTCCGGATTAATTTACGAGGAAACACGTGGTGTTCTGAAGGTGTTCCTGGAGAACGTTATCCGTGATGCCGTCACCTACACCGAACACGCCAAGAGGAAGACTGTCACAGCCATGGATGTCGTGTACGCCCTGAAGAGGCAAGGCCGCACCCTGTACGGTTTCGGCGGTTAAAAACAAGTACAGCTTGTACTTCATTCAGCAATCGGTCCTTTTCAGGACCACCATTACATCTCCAAAGCAGACAAATTTTCAAAACATTTTACGCTTTTTTGTTTTATTGGCTGGGAACTCCAAATTGGGAGTGAACAAAATCGAAATATTTAGTTTTCACCGCGAGCATTCGTCCGTTTCTCAAACAGGTAGAAAAATGTGTTGTAAAACAATCACTTACAGACATGTATAAAAATGTTTTTTGTTCAGACTGTACTGTTTCAGATGCGAAAGCAGTCTGTCTGATAAAGTTATACAATAAAATTATTATTTAACTTCCCGAACATTTTTAAAACCCAAGATGATGTGTTCACTAGATACATATTTTTTATTTGAAATACTTTTTGATGCCTGATGTTCTATTAGAAAATATTAACAATTCTTTGGTAAAAACTTGGTCGTCCTGAAAAGGACGGTTGGGTATGTTTATGTACAAGTATGTAGTTGGCTCTGCTTTTGGAACGTTTAAGCCTTCTTCTCGGTCTTCTTGGGCAACAGAACAGCCTGGATATTGGGCAATACTCCACCCTGGGCAATGGTGACGCCGGAGAGCAGCTTGTTCAATTCTTCGTCGTTGCGAATGGCCAGCTGCAGATGACGCGGGATAATCCTAGTCTTCTTGTTGTCACGAGCAGCATTGCCAGCCAACTCGAGAACCTCGGCGGCCAGATATTCCATCACGGCAGCCAGGTAAACCGGAGCGCCGGCACCAACACGCTCGGCATAGTTGCCCTTGCGGAGCAGACGGTGAATACGGCCTACTGGGAACTGAAGACCAGCCCGGTTGGAGCGGGACTTTGCCTTTCCCTTCACTTTGCCACCTTTTCCACGACCAGACATTTTGCTTTATTTCACTTAGTTCACTTAACACACAAAAACGAATGCTCGAGAAAAATTGGTAGCCACATATTTATACTTTTTTGCCTGCCTGCGCGTTTAGTTAGGGTGGGGTGCCTTATACCTGAAAAGGTTGCTCGAAAAAAAGTATAAGGGTGAACGCGTTCCGGCTCCGTTATGATCAGTGAATTGTGTTTGTGAAATTAAAAGTGAACTGAAATAATGCCGCCGAAAACTAGTGGAAAGGCAGCCAAGAAGGCTGGCAAGGCTCAGAAGAACATCACCAAGACCGACAAGAAGAAGAAGCGCAAGAGGAAGGAGAGCTATGCGAT